TCACAATTAATTAATGTATTCGAAGGAAGACACGCATTTGAAGGTTCTTTTAAAATGATTCAATTTTGTTATATAAATAAATAAATAACCAAAACCTTGCTCCGAAAGTGCTTACAACATATTTTAGAAGCTTTAAAAGAACAATGTTTAAATATTATTGTTTTATTAGCCATTTCATCAAAATTAAATTTTAATGTAGCCCACAGATCCAAAATAGGTTTTGAACACCAAAAATCATGGCATAATAAAACCTTGGAAATTAAAATGCTTTGACATTTTCAACAATGTCAAATATTTTAAATCATCAACAATGGGTTGATCATCATCTTTAATCACGTTTGGTCTAAGAACATGTTCTTTGGCCAAATAACTTTTATCATTCATTGACAAATTGGGCTTTTTTTTCTTTTTTTTCTTTTTTTTTTTAATTTTAGCCATTAATGGCTTATAAAAATCCTCCATAGACATGTTATTTCCATGGTTGGACTTTCTAAAAATGAGTTTTTCAACTCCCGAGCCTTATATGGAACATCTTTTTTAACCATGTTTGGCTCAACAAGAAGCTTTTTACCCATGTTATTTTCATAAGTTAGCTCTTTAAAAATGGATGTTAACCCCCCGAGCCATTAAGGAAATAAACTCTTTCCTTTTGCCATTTTCAACAATGAAAGAATTCTAAAACGTTCACCAATTTCGGCCATTAAAGCCTCGGTTAAAGACTTGGTAGTAAGAGTTGACAACTCATCATTCCATTGGCGAACTTCCTTATCAAGTTCATGAATTTCTCCAATTAAATCATGTCTTTTTTCTTCCACCAAATAATATTGTAATGTATGGAAGTTTGTTAATTCATCAAGAAAATTGATCTCTTCTTGAAGATCCATAATTTTTTATCTACGCCCAAAAATTCCATCTAAGCTATTTGGAATAGACGAATCCAATTCATTTTTCATTTCTTACACTTAACATCCCACTAGGCGTGCCAAAAAATTATTGGCTTATTTTTCCTACGAAGGAAAATACCATAAATGTGAGTGTGCCAGCAAGGATTGAAAAATCATTACAAATTAAATTCAAGCCAATTATCAAGCAATTGTGTTGACAGTTCTTTTGCCTCAATGAAGAGGAATTTAAAATTGCCAAGTGTAGAGAAAAGAAAATTAAAAGAAAAAGGAGGGAGATGGAGAAAGATGATTGAGTGAACAATCAAAGTACAAATTAATTACCTATACTCCTATGCCTTGAAACGGAAGTTCATAAAATTACTTCTACTCCTATGCTTCAAAAAGGAGGTGTTGAAAATAAAGTGTAGGAAATATAAATGACAAGAAAAAATAGAAATCAATTGTCTTTAATTTGAGTTTGATCCCTTTTACAATGTAACCATGAATGGCTATTTATAGGCAAACATTTGTAGGAAAAAAACTACCTAATAACTACCATATTCTTGCATCTCCCACACTTCACGCTCCATGATCTTTCATTTAATCTCTATTTCTCCATAACTTCCTTTAACCTCCAACTCATGCTCCATGTTCTTCACTTTGTCCTCCATCATCTTTTTACATGTGTTTAATGATTCATAACTTCTCATAACCTCCAAATGAGCAGGAGAGTGCCACATGTCCTACAATTATATAGATAATAACTAATAATAAAATTATTTATTTGTGATGCTAACAATAATATTTACCACAAAAATACATAACATACACTATAAAAATACATAACAAGTACATATGGTACAATAATCCTTTCTCTGTTGGGTCCGTATTTGTTTTCTTATGCTCATGATCTCTTTCTCTCTTAACTGAAATCTAAGGAGATAACTTAAATCATGGAGAGGGGAGGCTGGACTCCGGTTCTTAGAAGAAGAAAGTTGGGTAATCAAGCTAGTCGATTCAGGAAGAAGGAGTTGGTTACTCTGTTTGTGGATCAAATACCAGAATCCATGAATCCTAAAGGTTTGTTTAATATTTTCAGTAAGTTTGGTGTTGTCAAGGATGTATTCATCCCAATGAAAGAAGGAAAGCAACAATTACAAGATTTGGATTTGTGAGGTATGATTGCAAGATGGCAACAGAGGTGGCAGTGCAGAAAGCAGATGGTTTATGGTGTGATAACAACATATTGAAAGTAAAACAGGCGGAGTATAGGAAATCGGAGCAGAATAAGAAGATGGAAGTAAGCAAAAGGGATGGAAGTACGGTGCAAAAGATGTAATGGAATCCCATACAACCTATGTTGGGGAACAAAGGTAAAATATATGCAGAGGTAGTTCAAAATAAAGGAATGTGTGACAAAGGAAAAGTGTTTATAAGAGCTTTTGAGGCTGGCAATGGATGGTTGTATGATAGTTTATTGGTAAAGCTTAAAGCATTTTGTTCTTTTCATGAATTTAGAAAGGAGTTACAGAAGAGGAAGGGAAATGAGGTGGTTACTAGAGAAGGGGGAGGGATGTTAGCCATTTTAACCTTTCAGTCAAAACAACAGTTGAAGGAAGGAAGAGCAAGTATGCTGGAGTGGAAATCTGAATGGAGTGACTAGGTTTCGGAATGGGAAAAAAGGAAATTCATGAATCAAGAAAGGTGTGTCTGGATCACTTGTGTGGGTGTCCCTCCCAGTCTTTGGAGTGTTAAAACTTTCAGAGATATAGGAAATGTCTGGGGTGAGGTGGTCTAGTATGATGAAGACACAATTGGGTGCAAGCATTTTATGTTTAGAAGAGTAAGAATCATCACAATGAAGATGAAGTTCATAAATACAGTGATTAATCTTAAAGGAAATGAGAGCACTTATCCAGTGCAAGTGTATGAAGAATTCCTACCTAGTATTTGCCAGTGCAAAGGTGATTATAGTTGCCAGGAAAATGCCGTAATGGAATCCAACATGCAAAAAGAGGCTGACCAGTGTTCCAAAAATGAGTGCATTGAGGAAGGTGAAGGCAAGGCTGCTACAAATACCGTGGAAGATAAAACTAGGAAGGAGGTAAATGCAAAGGCTACAGAAGATGGGGATGAAGAGGAAGGTAGTGAATCAGCAAAGGAAGAAGATGATGTGGATACAAATGATGAGGTGTCCAGCAAAGGAAACAACACAGTGGAAAGGGAGGCAGATGATGTGGAAGGAGGTAGTAATTGTATGTCAGATACATTTGTTAAAGAATCTATGTGTGCTATAGGAAACTCAAACAGTGGGGGCTATTATACTGAGGAGGGGGTGGTGCCAATGAGTAGCTTAAGACAAGTGGTGGATTGGACAATTCAAAGGGTAGATGATAAGGTTTGTACTCCTGGATTCATAAAAAGTTTAAATGGGCTGGACTGTGTTATGCCCAATATTAACTTAGAAGTTGTTTTAAATGGTGCCCAAATAGAGCGTATGGCTAACAGGCCGAGATTGGAGCCTAATTCAACTCTACATGATTATGTAGCCCAACTTGTACCTTTGAATATAGTGGTAAATTCATCCCAAAGGGAGAAAAAAGAGAAAGGTGCTCCATCGAAGAGGGCTAGAGCTATCTTAAGAATCCAAGCTGCGGCAAAGGGAAATGAAGGTGATCAGCGAAAAGGAAGAAGGAGGAATGGTGCCTAGCTAAACCAGATGGGACTCCCGTCTAGGAATTGTTTAAAAAATGGGGCAATTTTTAGAGCAGCGGCTGCTGCTATCTCTCTATCAGTTTCCCAGAGTAGTAATTCAAGCAGAAAAAGAAAATTACTTACTGAAGCTCAAGCCACAATGGAAGTAGGCAAAGTTTTGGGGTTAAATTGTAAAGGGAAGGATGATGAAGTGATGTAAAGAATAATTGACTTGGAGGAAAAAGATCTAGACAGAGTTGTAGGGAGGGGTGTGGCAACTTAAGCTGTTGAAAGCAAAAAGGAGGTTTGAAGATGTAATGTGGGTTTCATAAAGCTGTTGTCATGGAATGTAAGGGGTCTGAAAAGACTTGAAAAGGGGGGTAAGATTAAAACTGGGGTAAAGGAAAGGAAAGTAGATGTTTTGTTGATTCAAGGGTTGAAGAAATGAAGTGTGGATGATTGTTTTGTACTATCACTGTGGCCATTAGAGAAAATGGGTTTTGTGGAGGTCGATGCTCAGGGCAGTGCAGGTGGTTTGATTTGCATTTGGAATCCAGAAATTTTTGAGTTGATTTACTGTTGTAGCTCTAAGAATTTCATTCTTCTGTCAGGTATTGCTTCCAAAAATTTCCATTGTGTTATTATTAATATCTATGTACTGAATGATGTATTGAAAATGAGACATCTTCAGGAGAGTATTATCCAGCTTAAATCTTCTTACCCCAACTCGTGGTGTTTGGGAGGTGATTTTAATGAAATTAGATTTATGAGTGAAAGGAAGGGATGTTTAAGAAGGGATAGAGGGTGAAAGACTTTAATGATTTTATTAATAGATTGGAATTAAGTGATTTACCTATGCAAGGAAGATCATTCACTTGGTGTAGTGCAATGAAAGGAGACAGGTGGAGTAGGATTGACAGGTTTCTAGTTGACCATGTGTGGCTGGAGAGGTTTCAAATGAAACAATGGGGATTATCCAGATGTATTTGTGATCACTACCCAGTTCTGCTAATGGAGGATGAAAGGGATTGGGGTCCAAAACCTTTTCGGTTTATTAATGCTTGGGCACTTCACCCAAAGTTCAAGATAGAAGTGAAGAAATCTTGGGAGAAGTCTCAGATTTGGGGATGGGCTAGCTTTCGAATCATGTATAAATTGAGGATGTTCAGATCATAATTGGGAAAGTGGAATAAAGAGGTATTCAGGAATACTGATGATCGACTTAAGAAAGATGAAGATGAATTGCATGAGTGGGATTTGAAAGTTGAAGCCAGGCCTCTATTGGAGACAGAATTGGAAAGAAAAAGAGAGATTAGAAGTAAACTGTGGAAGCTCAGTAGATATAAGGAGATGATGTGGTTACAAAAGTCAAGATTGACATGGGCATAGAATGGTGATAAAAATACTCGATTGTTTCACTTGATGGCAAGTAGAAGGCAGAGGAAAAACTTATTAGGCTCAGTGAAGGTGAATGGTGTTGAGTTTGAAGATCCAATTATGGTGAGACAAGTAGTTGTGAATCATTTTGCTAGTGTGTTTACTGAAATTAGAAGTCTAGGCCTAAATTGCCAGGTCCATTTTTATCCATTGGTCTGACTAATTCAAAGGATGTTTTGGAGGCAGAGTTTAGTGAGGCAGAGATTTGGGTAGCCATTAAAGATTGTGATGGTAATAAGGCCCCTGGGCCTGATGGGTTCAATCTGTCTTGTATACAAAATTGCTGGTCTATCATGAAAGGTGAGTTTCTTCAATTTTTCAAGGAGTTTCACAGTTATGGGAAGATGGCTAAAGGGGTAAATAGTTTTTTCATCACTTTGATTCCTAAAAAGGAGAACCCCTCTAATTTGAGTGAATATGGACCTGTTAGTTCGGTTAGCTTCGTTTACAAAGTGTTGGTTAAAGTGCTGTGTATAAGGCTAAGACAAGTGCGACCTAAACTTACAGGAGAAGTTCATATTGCTTTTCTTGGAGGAAGATATATTCTTGATGGGATGTTAATTGCAAATGAAGTGGTGAACTGGTGGAAGAAATCAAAGAAAAAAGGAATCATCCTTAAATTGGACTTCGAGAAGTTTTATGATTCAGTATATTGCTAGTTCCTATTATCAATGATGTTGAATTTTGGTTTTGGTGAGAAATGGGTGGGGTGGATTAAGTCATATATTTCTACATCAAGGATATCAGTGCTTGTTAATGGGTCACCCACTGCATAATTTTCTCCTCAAAAAGGGTTAAGACAAGGTGATCCACTCTCTCATTTCCTCTTTAATATTGTGGCTGAAGGGTTAAAACTTTTATTAGAGAGAGAAAAAGAAAGGTGGCTGATAAGAGGTGCTTCAGTTGGTCCAAAAGTTTCTCATTTGCAATTTGCGGATGACACAATCATTTTTTGCAAAGCTGAATGGAAGGAAATCATTATGATTAAAAGACTACTAAGGTGCTTTGAAGTAATGTCAGGGTTAAAGATTAATTTTCATAAAAGTATTGTATGTAGGATTGTGTGGAGGAGATAAGGGTTATGGAGTTTGTCCAAAAACTAAATTGCCTTAGTAGAAAATTACCACTTACCTTTAGGTGCAAATACAAGGAGTAGAAGTACATGGCAACCTGTGGTGGAAAATTTTAAGAAGAAATTAGCATCATGGAAGAGGAAGTTCTTGTCCTTTGCTGGTAGATTGACCTTGATTAGATCAGTCTTGTCAAGACTACCTATGTTCTTTCTACCATTGTTTAAAATGCCTGTGGGTGTTGCTAGAACAATTGACAAGATTCAGTCTAGTTTCTTGTGGGGTGATTTTGAGACTAGGAGGAAAATTCATATGGTAAGTTAGAAGGAGGTATGTAAAAGTAAAGCCTAAGGTGGGTTGGGTGTAAGACATCTGACTGATGTTAATGTTTGCTTATTATTAAATTGGTGGTGGAGGTATGGTAGAGAGCAGCAGTCACTATGGAAACAGGTGGTGTGCAGTAAATATGGAGGATTTGGGGGCAGGTAGATTCCAGCAACAGTGGAATCTACTATGGTGTCTTCCGTATGGAAGGGGATTGTATCATCTGTTTAATCAAATATTGTTGTGGCTGAGTTGTTTACACAAAATTTTAAACTTATTGTGGGAAATGAGGAGAGGATACAGTTTTGGAATGACAGGTGGTTTAATGGTAGAAGTACGAGGAATGATTTTCCTTCAGTCTTTCAATGGATAAGGAAGGTACATTACAGTTTTTCTATCATAGGAAAGGGTAGGGCAGAGATTGGAAACTGGAGTTTAGAAGATCCCTCTTAGCTTGGGAGAAAGAGGAGGTTCAAAGACTTACTGAAATGTTATCAGAGGCACTTATTTTAAATCCTACTGCTGAGGATTCTTGTTTATTGCTGGCAAGTAGTTTAGGAGAGTTCTCTATGGCTTCGGTATGGCAAAGGGTAGAGGCAGCTAAATGGGCAATGCTTAGCATTTCAAAGGTTCTGTGGAAAAATTCAGCACCTACAAAGGTTCATTTTTTCAGTTGGTTAGCTTGAAGAGGGAGAATAAAGTTTGCAGAGTTAATGCATAGGATTGGAGTATTAAATGATAATGTTAGTTCTCTTTGTGTATTTTTCAAGGCAAAGGTGGAAACAACTGATCATGTGTTGCTGTTATGCCCTTTGATCTAGAATGTATGGTATGTCTTGGTGAATTGGTGGGATGTAAGATGGGTAACACTAGGTTCTGTGGAGACTTTGCTGTATTGGTGGTCTGGATTGAAATGGAGGAAAAAGGAGTTGGAGATTTGGAAGGTTGTCCCTTTGGCTATGCTGTGGTCTATGTGGAAACTAAGGAACAACTATCTATTTAAGAAAGGGCATGCTGATCTTGAAGGATTGGGGAAGTTGGTGAAAGTCAGAATTGTTGCTAATCTGAAGCAGGTCAGAAATTGTTTGTAAGCCAATGGAGGAGGGTGTTGGTGTATTGGTCTTGATATGAGGATGTCCTTGTTGTGTGGCTGGTTGGTCTTTCTGTTTTTTTTTTTTTTTTTTCCTTTTATGTATCTCTGTTTGTGGATTGGTGTCTCGCCAATCTGTGGATTTAGTGCTAGCAGATGATTGTGCTTCCTCTTTGGTGCCAACCTAGTTGGGATTGTGGTGTGTTAGCTATGATGCTTTTTGCACTTCCCTCATTTATTGATGTAAATTGATGCTTGTACTCACGTGTTTTGATCAATAAAGTTTCCCTTTTTCTTTGCTAATAAAAAAAAGTACATATGGTACAATAGTTCCAAAATGTGATGACCCAGGATTTTTTTTTTTAAAATTGTCAGTGCATAATTTAATTGAGCAAATTTTCGGATTTGACTGATGTGTAAATTATTTACAAAATAGTTCGGTTTTGTATTTTTTTAAAATAGTTCCCGATCTCAAAAAATTATGAAATTTTTATATGTTGTTCACATACGAGTCTAGCACGTTGGGTAAAAATTTCAGAATTTATTGATGAGTATTGATTTTATGAAAATTCGTGGACTGATTGGAGTTCATTTTAATTCATACCAGAATTTTTTTATTAAATTTTGAATGTTTAGACCATGACTTGAGACAAAGTTTGTTGGGTCTATTTTGGTATATAATTGGGCTATATTTGGCTTATGGGTGAGAATTTAATTCAAGACCCATGACTTAGATTCAATTTAATTTGAGTTTGTTTAATAACTCATGTTTAACTATTTGGTCTATTTTAATTATGTGATTAATAGTGATCACATTGGGAGTTGTTATTATTTATTATATAAGATTATAATATATATTTGAAAGTTAAATTTATGGTGTGTACCCTGCGGTGAAAAATTATATATTTTTGTAGTGAATAAAAATGGGTGTATATTTCATAGTGAGTAAAATATTATATTTTATGATGTACAAAATGTTATATTTTGTGGTGAAATAAAATTATATTATTATATAATTTATGTACAAAATTTTGGAGATATTATTGTCATATATTTTGTATTGGATTGGGTGATGTTAGGTTTGGTGACTATCTAGGGAAGCTAACCCACATGGGGTTGTTCCCCACTTCCTTTCTCCCTATCTCTTCTTTCCTTCTACTTTGTTTTGCTTTTGTTTTTTTTCTTTCCTGAGCAGAGAGCTTTTGCTCTCTTTCTTTCCTTATTCCTCCATTGTTGGCTCAACCTTTGAGCTTGAAATAAAAGTCTTTAGAGTGAGATTTTGCAAAAGTTTTGTAAATGAAAGTCGGAGAGCTCGTCGTACTCTTCGTAGTGGTAGTCTCGGATTTATGATCGGGTAAGATTTGCCTTCCAGATCTACTCTTCTTCATTATATGAGGTAGTGACTTTCTTCATATTTTTACATTAAAACTATGTTAGGGTTGTTTTGAGAAAATATATCATTATAAGAGGTATTGCATATATATATATATTCAGATTTTTGTTTGGTAATTTTTGGAAGAAAAATTATGTTGAAATGTTAAGAATGTTGGCATTTTGAGATTGATTTGGAAAAATCATTTTGTGTTGATAATTTTGCAAAGAAATCCGAAAATAAAATTTAATAGTTGTATGATTGTACTTACATCATATTATGATTAGATGATTTATTTTGAGAAATATAAAGTTGATTTTTTTTTTTATCTTTGATTTGGAATTTATTTTTGAGAAAAATAAATTAATGTTGAGGAATATGGAGTAAATGCTTAAGTAGGAATTATAGAGTTGTTTTGGGATTAAAAACTCTAAAAGTGTTATATTCATGATATTTTATAAAAGATGATATGTTGATGATTAAGTTGTATTCATTTTTTTATGAAAATAAAAACGCGAAATGTGGACTTTCAAACTCATAACCTTGAAAATGTTACTATTGGGCATATTTCATAATTTTTTATGTAAATATCATGTCGGTTAAGTAACTTTAGAAAAAGTTGTGAAATTATTATTGATAGAGAATTTGGTAAAAATATTACCTCTTTAAATAGCTTGGGATGAAAAATGGTTATATTGAAATATAGTTATATATATATATTTGCAAGATCTAGATGATTTTTGAAATTATCCTTTGATTTGTTTTGAAAATTGATTGTTGATTCAAGAAGATGAGAGTTTTTTTTTTTAAAGTGAATTTATTTTCTTGTTCCTTTTAAAATAGAAATTGAGGGTTTTGAATTATGAGGATTGAAGAGAGGTGTATTTGGTGACTTTCTTTCAGTAAATGAAGATGAGTGGTTTTGGTGTGAAAACCTAGAAATTGAGAATTTTTAAGAAAGATGTTTACAATCTTTGAAGATATTGTTATATTTATTTTGTGTGCCAAAATAAATGATGTTTGAAAAATTGTTTATTTGTTTACATGTAAATGATGGTTTTCATGGAATATGAGAATTGTTGAAGTTTTGGAAATTGTTGTTCAAAATGTTGATGTAGTCTTGAAGTGAATAAATGGTTGAGATTACTCTAAGTGTGGGAATTATATTGTCCCATGGTTGAATTGGAATAAAAGTATTTATATTCATCTTGAGAAATTATATTGAAATGAGAAATGAGAATTTTGATCACAATGGGAATATTGTGTGGAAGTATTGAAAGTGGAAGAAATATTATATTGTATTATTAATCATTGTATTGGCATATCAATTCATTTGATAATGATGAGCTTTGAAATTTGATTTGAAAACTTTGAATTGAGAAAGAAATGTCAGGAAACAAGTTTTCATGAAATGATTTTGGGGTAAATACGGTGGTAAGTTTTGAAAGGTGGTGTAGATTATAGGTGTCGAGCCTTCCAGTTAATACTGATAAAAATGACAGATTATAGGTATCAAGCCTTCCAGTTATTACTGGTAAAAATGACAAATTGGTAGTACTTGTATAGTTTACTTGCAGACACCAGCCTAGGGATTACCTAGGTCATATTTACCATCTTGGAATTTTATTGAAATTGTTGGATTAATGTGTTTCCAAAATGGCATTTTGCATAAGACTTTCAAAAGATGAGAAAAATATTTTGAGCATGACATGGCATATGCGTTCATCTCATAAGAATGTATAAAATAGATCTGATGAATTATTTAATTATTTGATTCAATTAATAATGAGATAATTCAATGAA